GCAGGGCTCCAGGGGAGGTCTCCCCAGAGCAGAGCAGAGGGGCAGAATCCCCTCCCTCAACGCTGGCCACGCTTCTCCTGATGCAGCCCAGGGTAGGGTTGGCTTCTGGGCTGCCAGCGCACATTGCCGGCTCATGTCCAGCTTTTCATCCATCAATGAGTCAATGTTGTTTATTTTAAAACTGTGCACACAATGCACGGGCTCCAAGGCAGCTCTGGTTAAAACATGACAAAATTATTAACCCTGGCTTATCACTCCATGACCACAAACATGTTTCCTCCACACCAAACTAACTCTGGAGGCATCATTTACTCATTGCTTGGACTAACGAACCTCACTGAAACGCAGCTGGCCCGCAGCTCAGGTGTCACTGCACGTGTACCACGTTATACTCCCAAACATGGTTATCTACCAGCAGTCAACTGACTGCAACAATGATACAGAATTAATTACCTCCCAGTTGTGGGGCTCTTGTTTTAATAGCTGTCAAGCTTCCCCGCAGCCGGTGGTTCACACCCTGCAATGAAAGAGAAATGACAGTTAAAATACAAGAATGAAGTCCTGCAGCTGATCTGACTAGATAGCAAAAACCTGCCCCTGGCCCAACGTATTTCTAAGCACCCTCAGCAGCTGTGATCAGGAGCCAACAGAAATGGCGTTTTACACATATTTTAATATCTACCACTCCCTTATGACAGACCTGTCAGCTACAGAAATGAATTACAGCCACCAGGCATTAAACAATCTGAGTTCAAAGTTCGTTTGAGTGGCCTAGTGGGGATCGAATGGGACATTTCACCTAACACTTTTAGCAAGATAAGCGTATTTCTGTTTCACGTGTATCATTTCTTCGTTCCTATCTGATGCCCGGTCACTTGACACAGTTTGCACGCAGGACACCAGCGGAGCAAACAGCAGCATCAGGTGCAGGTAACTGCAGGGAGGAGACTGCCCATGGAGAAATTCCCATGCCCATGGGAAATCCACCCAGAGTGCCATGGGGCTGCGCTAGAGGAAAACTAAATATATAAATATAACGCTGTTATATTACATCTCCATCAGTATTTTATCTATTTCAGTACAACCACCTCAACCCCGCTGCAGATGCCCACATACAGCAGCAACGTGCTTGGCTGGCAGCAGCAATCTCACTCAAAGTTGTCCCAAATTGAGTCGCTCCTGCTGGTCAGGCGCAGCATTTAGTCCTTGACTCACCAGCCCAGGCTCAGTAGCTATAAGAAGCGAGCAATTCAGCTTTTAAATGCAGTGCTGAGCTGTTCAGAGTCTAACACTAAATACATCATCCAGTACCCCGCAGAATTATGACTACCTATTTTCCCACACTTTAAGAAGATTTAAGGGACATGCCCCCAAGTTTTATTTTTGCTACGAGCACTCAGGAGCGTGGACAGGTTTATTTAATAAGTCTCAAACAAAATTAAGCACGCAGTTAAGCATAGAACCCTTTTCAAGTTAAAGTGCCTGCAGGATCTGACTAGTTTGGAAACATTTATTTACAAAACTTACCTTGAGCTGACAGCTTATTGAGAAATTTTAGGCAAACGAATTGTCACACAGTAACACCAAAGCCCACTCAACAAGAACCCCTTTTATGTGAAGCCAGAGAATTGTTTTAAAACAAATGTTGAAGTAGAAATAGGATTTTATCAAATGTCTCTACAACAGGTTTATAGCAAAAATTTCACAGCAGAAATCCTGAAAGTGGAAACTTCTGAAATGACTTGCATCAGCCCAGCCTTAACTTTCATGTTTACGCACACTTCTGCATTTAAACAAAACCTATCCAAAAAATCCAGTTGATAAAATGTGTTAATAATTAAATAAGAGATGAACTAAAGAAAATAATACCCCCTAATATAAACCTGAAAGAGAAAAAGATTCTTTCTTTGAGTCTTTCCATTTCTTAAAAGAAAGGAAGAGGGGTAGGGCAGAAGAAGAAGAACAGCCCAGGCTTCACATCTTTATGTGCAGACAGAACCAAAGGCAGACGATCAGCCAAGGTGGACGTACTCTGCTGCGCCCACCACTTCCCCATCCTGAGGAAGGCAACTCTCAGCGAGGGAGCATCCCACCGCTGCACCAGATCAAAGAGGGAGAGCAGAACTTTTACCCAGAAAGGTGAAGGACCCATCTGGATCCTGAGCTGCTCACCGGATCCCGGTTTGGATTAATGACATGCAGGCCATTAATCAGTCCCACTCACTGCACAGGGATTTCTTCTCCTTTACTGCTGGCTGGCCAGATTCACTCTGGACGGATAGAGAAAGCAGGACTGCCCTCTGAACGCACTCTCAAATGGCTTTACTTACCACTGGGGAATTTCTGAACCCCTTGATAGCTTGGAAAATGCCACCTCCAATCGCTCCCATCGTGAAAGCACCTCCGCAGTCATCTACTATCCTCCAGGGACTATAAAGAAAAATAAAGATGAAAATACTAAATTCCATCATGTTAAACCATGCAAGTAACTGTAATGGATCCACCACTCACGCACCGAGCGTCACTGGAGTGAAAATCCAGCCTGCCAGCTGTATTGTCTCACATCCAGCTGGCTGAGCAGACACCACCAAAACACACGGACAGGTAACACGGACAGCAAAACAAACCCCAGTTTTGCCCAGAGTCTACCAGCCCGTCTCCCTAGAGTGGTAAGTATCAAATATACAGAAGAATTGCCTGAACTCCTGACGCAAGGCAGAAGGATGTATTTCCATCACAGAAAACTTGTGCAGAATTCCATCTCTGCCCTACTTAGGGAGTGTGAATAGCTTGCGATTTATTGTTCTCATTTTCGTCTTGACGTACAGAAAACTGAGGTGGCAAATTCACTGAGACTGGGTTCACAGCTGGCACAAACCCCCGCTTTCCTGAATCACTCGTGCTGGTTGTTTAAACGAGAGACTTCAAAGTCATCTTTTGTTAAACTGAAAAGGTTTTTCCTGATGCATCCTGGATCTCTGAAGTTCATTCAAACAAAACACAGAGGCCCAGACGGCCGCAATTCCTGCCTCCAACAATACGGAACGTCGAATGTTTCCGACCAGTGAGCAAAAGCTTCACCTCAGAACGGGCACCTTCCTCGCAGCAAACGCTTGCAACACCAGGGAGATGAGCTTTAATTTGGGGTTCAAAACCACTGCCAAGCACTAGAGCCTTGTAACTCTTCGCCACTAAGCTGAGCTCCTAAACTAGGTGAGCACTAACCCTGCTATTAACCTATGCTGCCACTGCTGGTAATTTCAAAGCATAAAATAACAAAGTTATTTTGCTTCTTTCATCCTATATCAAAATCTTAGAGCAGAAGTCAAGCACTCAGATGATTGTAACTCCTGCGCTGACAATAATCAGAAAACCTAGCGAAAACCAGACTGCAACAACACACAGGGTCACAAAACCGAACACCGCAGCAAGCTCAGTGCTCACATTATCAAATCACGGATATGAGCATCGATGCGCTTTTCCGATTTCACATTTCTGTTCTCAAGGACTCCCTACAGCACCCAGCTCCTGCACATGAGCATACAGCTTCATCAATCCGTTCTGAATCTGCCGCTTTTCACAGAATACACTAATGCTCGTCGGCTGTCAGGAGAGACAAACACCGTCGCTCTTCCCAGACCCCTCGCTGTCATATTTTGTCACAAGGGCTTTTTTTCTTCCTGAAAAAAATTCCAAAATTTGAAGTCCCTCCCTCTATACGCATTCTCCCAGCCTCCTCACTTCTCCTGACCTATTTCTGACTCTCTCCCTACCCCCGCAGTCACTTTGATGAGAGCGTAGCCAGCTCTGCACGCCTTCCAGACGCGGGTAAATTGCTTGTTTGCACACGTGGTGCTCTTGGCTTGTTTTGCTTTTGCATCTTGGCATCGCCTGGCTGTTCCGGAATGCACCGGGCCCCCACCCAAATGTCACCACTGATCCTCCCCAGCAACACCCAGGTCCCAAGCCCACACTGATCCAGGGGAAGGATCGTACGTTATCCCACCACGCATCACCCTTCTTTTTTATCACTCCGCCTGTAATGTGCTTTCATCTCCTATTCCTTACAAATCCCCTCAAGCTTTGACTAAATTAAATAATTTAGCCCCATTTCACACTTTATTTTCCTTCCCCTATTTCCTGCTTTTAATGATCAGGAAAATGTTACAGGCACACTGCTGTCAGAGATGCCAAGATGAAAAGCAACTAAGTCTTTCTTCTCAGGGCTTTTTTGTTGTTGTTTTGTTCTTCTCCACGTCTCCCATCCAGATTTTGATCTACTCTGTTATGAATAAAACATCTCATCACAAATCTCCTCCTTCGTTAGCCTGCTAACAGTGATCTTGTTAAAAGGCTTTTTGGAAATCTAAATAGATTATGTAAAGTGGTCTTCCTGTACCCACAAGGTCAAAGAATTCCAATTTAGCAAATCACAACTGAAGCTTCATTACAGAAGCTTCATTAATTAGACCCCAATCATGGAACGCTTGCCTAGATTTTTTTCCATCTTTAACCCCACTTCAGATGTCAAGCTCATTAGCTGTTACCTTTGGGGTTCTTAATTTTTCCTTTTCATCTCTCCTCCCAGCCTCTGCAGGAGCAGCTTTTAAATGAGAAAATGTCTTTTGATACCAGCACAGCCATTTCGTCCACCAGCACCTTTGAACTCCTGGACAGACGCTGTGTGCATCTGCAAGCCGACACAGAACATCCCCTAGTCCCTGGCAGTGCTTGACCTCAGCAGAGGAGAGAATCGGGAGAGATTGCTCCATTATTAATTTGGCACTCAACTACAACCTTAATATTACTGTTAATTGTTTCCCTGACTTTAAGGGGACCCCTCCCAGCAGGCAGATGATGTGCTCACTGCTACATGCAAGATAAGGTTGGATTCAAACTCCTAATGGCAACCGCAATCACTTAGAGACAAGAGAGCAGAGGCCAGGACTTCATTTATGCCAGGGCCCTGGGGCAGCCACACACCAGCTCCGCTCACCGGAGAGGCTGATGTTACCCCACACCTCAGGCAGGCATCCAGAGGGAGCCAAGGTGGCTTACAGCGCTGTCCGGCTCGATAAAAAGCAGAGAGGGTGGCTGGCAGGGCCTGCGGAGCGAGGTGAGCTTTTAGAGGGGTGAAACATCGCTCCAAGCCCTATGGCTGCCTGCTCAGGGGCCCCTCCATTTTAAACGAACAGAGCTGCCTTTTCGC